TCTGAATCGGTCTTAATGAGATTTTTTAAGCATTTTTTAGAATTTAACAAATATTGTATTAGTAATTGTGCAAATTGAGCTTTAAGAGAAAGTTTCAAAAGTCTGAAAAACAGTGTATGTTATAGAGCAGCGTTTGCTCTATAGAACAAGACCCAGCGAGTTTTTGTACAATACGCTATTCATGAGATACAGCGTTTTGAAAATAGTTTAGCTAAAACAAGGTAAAAAATAGCTAGAAACCATTGCTGAAATTACTGATAAATATTAGAAACGTTGTCCAATTTGAAGATTACGTCGTAGAAAAGGATGCTAGGGCTCGTTCGATAGAACAAACTCTACTCTACAAAATACACTATTTTTCAGAATTTTGAAATTCTCTCTTAAAGGTTTATTTTCTCAATTACTAATACAATATTAATTAAGTTCTAAAATAGTGCTTAAAAAATTTGATTATGATCGATATAGAGATACAAAAAAAAAATCATCCCGTGCCTCGCATACCTTTATCTCTTTTTGCTCTACCAATCAGTTTCTCAAAGTTCATCGAACAATGAGATGTTGTAAGCATGCGCTTCCTAAAGCTCTGATCAATGTAGCACAGGTGTGAGCAGCGGCGCATGGCGAGTTTTTCCATCTCTGGACTTGTTGTTGTAAAACAAAATCACACGGTTTGTTTAATTTCCAATGTTCTAATCTTATGGTGTACTTCAGAACTGAAAATTATGACAAGATTTTTCTACACTTGTTAATTAATAATAATTCACATTTAATTGTTATAATCAATAGTTTTTCAAAAAAAATATTTATACCAAAATGTAGCCCGTTGAATTTTGGATCTAACGATATATTTTTGAAATGTTTTCTATTCTTCGGCAACAACAAAATCGATAAAATACAAAAGTGCATTGAATTTTTTTTTACTAGACAAAAACAGTTTCTGTCATAAAAACTGAATCGGTTCACTGTTGGTATTTTCAATACAATAGATTTGTAGTTCGTTTCGAGAACTATCGAAATCACTATTTGAATGTTTATAAAAAGCGGTCTTTGATGGAGAAAAACGAAAAATAAAAAGTGTCTTAAAATTTTGTCTTCCGTTTTACCTAAGGTATCCACGTCTATCTTGATTCATTCGATAGAGTATATAGAGAAAAGAAAAATGGTTCCAGCCTATGAGTTATGACCGTTTTACTAGAAGCTAGGCATTCTGAAGAAAACTAAAATGAAGAGTTTGCGATCTGAAAAATTTTGCTTATTAACATAGATTGTATCGAAAATAGGCAAAACTTCAGATCGAAACTCTTCATTTTAGTCTGTTCGAAATACCTGGTTTTCAATAAAACGGTCATAACCCCACGTCAGTACGTCATACCCTCGAACCATTTTTCTCCTCTCGGTATACCCTATCGAATGAGTCAAAACGAAAGTAGTCACCTGGAGTACTTCCCTTGTTATTATATCATTGTAGAGGTCGTAGACAGACAGAAATATCTATCATTGTTTTTGTTGTAAAAAAAATATAATAAAAGAAAACAAAAAAAAGAATACTATTAAATAAATTTTTATTATAGAATTGAAAACTTGAAAGTTCTACTTATGAATTTCAAGTACTTAACAAACTATTTCCTATAACAAAAAGTCAAAACAGAAACCTCGGATAAATCTCCTTTGTTTTCTTCTTCATTCGAATCGTTACGATTTGTTTCAACTGCTGGTAAAATAGTTGCTGCTTTGACATTAGAAAATATATCCAAACGTCGTTGAGTTTCTATTGGATTAATATAAGTATTCATTTCCGCTGCTTGATTTGCATTAACCGGTTGTGACCAACGATCTTCAAATTCAGTAACATTTCTATAAAAGAAAAAAAAAGAAATATTCCTATAGATGTACAGTCATTCAAAAATATATCTGGATATCGTTCGCACTTGCTGATTTGAACAATCTTAGATAATTGAAACACTTTTTTAATGAAAATTGCTAATAGAAGTCGGAAAATTGGTTTGAGGAGAAAAGATTTTCATATATCTATCTGTTTAATTTTCGCATATCGGTGTATAGTTCACCCATAGAATGGTTTCATGAAAACAAAAGAACCTTTTATTGGCTTCCAAAGATTTCAATTTCTTGTGTTATGACTTAATCAGCGATCAGCCTTATATGATATATCATAGGAATGGCTGATTTCAAATCAGAACCAATGATTTTATAATATAAAAACAAAATTAAGACTAACGATATCGACACAATCCTGAAAATCAACGATCTGATTTTAATCCAAAAATAGCCACTTTTGCACGCAACAAACTATATCTAATTTCCCGAAATGACAAAAATTCATAATCAGTAGGCTTTCAGTTGTATACAGATAAAACAACAGCTTAACTGTGAAAAAATCACATTAACAATAAATACAATTTAGACAAATGAGCCATTTACGACCCATTCTACATCTCTACAATGAAATAAATTCTCTCGAATTCAATCGTATCAATGTCATAACTTAGGATTGACTCAGCACTGATTTAGTCCACGGGACGAGTGGTAGAGCCCATCAAGTGCAAGAATTTCTAGATCCGATCGGAACAAAATTTCCAGGCCCGAACCCAATGGGTTCTAGTAAGAAGTTGCGGAATTTCGTCATTGACCAATGTCTTATTGGTAAATGGTTACGAACCAGACCTCGAAACGGGTCGCTCGGCTCAGAGATATATTTCTGTCGGACCGTCCCGTTCGAACTTTATTTCTTTTCTCAAGAAAAGTTTTTCACGTAAGAAAACAGGAAAAAAATCTAATTTTTTTGACTTAAAACATAGATTTCATTTGATTTGAATCTTTCTTAATTAATTTATAAAATACAGTTTTAGTTACAAAAAATTTAATTTTGAAAGCTAAAATATCGGATAACATTATTTTAATCATTTGTTTTTTATTCAAAAATAATCGATTTTGATTTTTCGTCAAAATTTTTTTATATAAATTTTGCATCTCACAACTGATAGCAATCAAGAATTTTCATTATTAAAGGTTTATCAATTTCATTAAGTGGTATAAGTGTTAATGAAATGAAACAGTGTTAATTGTCTACTAAAATTAACATTCTAACTAAAAATAGTAATTCAATCAGACTCTGAGAAATAAGTCATTGTGTTATTTTACTCTTGAAAGCTTTTTGTTAATGAAATAATAACCTTCAAGTAATTTAAACACTCACAAACGCATCTTACTCTTCTTCATGCTGTTGTTTTAAACATTAAAATTGTCTAACTTTGTTCATTTCGTACTCACTATAATAATAAAAAACTTTTTACAATATTCTAATAAATAATGACAATGATTTTGATTTTACATCATGTAAAAATCCTTTTTTCTGTAAAAGAAATATTGTTATTCGGAATTAGATCGGGCCGGATGGGCACTATAAATTGGGTAGACTCCATCGAGTTGGTCCCGAATCCGGATCTGACTTCATGGATACAAAAAGAGCCAATAATAAGTTGATTCTTATAAGATCATGATTGCTTCAGAACTGTTAAGGCCACCCTCCTCAAAAAAAGTCAATTTTCGTGAGAACTGTCAAAATTGAGATAAATACATAGGAAAATAGTCCGTCGTCTGCTCTTTCAGAATTGGTAAAAATTTTTTCTGAAACCTCCATTTTTCCTAGAAATTTTTCAGAATTTCAGCGAACCAGTTTTTGAAAAATCAGCGGTTTTTTGAAATATCCAAAAATCTTTTTCGTTTTTTCTCATTTTTCGCTTTCTCGTACGCGCATCTCAAATTTCTCTGTCATGGTTCGTCCAGTATATTAATATTTTTTTTTGTTTGAAAGAGCGTGTCAAGATGTAGGGCACTACGACACTCTTTTTTTGAAATACCCCTTTTCTTTAGTCAATATAAACTAAGTGATATAATTCGACTACAATTTTTTGATAAATTTTTTAGTCATTGAACTTGCAACCTCTTTTTTCCAATTAAAAAGGAAGTATTTCAAAAAAAGGGCGACGTAGTGCCCTGCATTCTGACACGCTCTTTCAAACAAAAAAAATATTTATATATTGGGCGAACCATTACAGAGAAATTTGGGTTGCCAAATTAGCTATTTTTCGACCTTGTTTGGTCCATATCTCCCTTAAATGAAATAGTTTTGGGCTGAAAATTTTATCATAGACTACCCTTAATGTCCCCAACATATCCTCCAAATTTCAGCTCGTTCCAATGTTCCTGGACCGAGATCGATTTTTGAGGGGGGCCTTAAGGGTGTGTTGCTGGGGGTTATCAGGTGCGAATTAAAAAATTTCATTAACTATCAAGAGTACAATTTGGAACCGAGTCCGGGTCCAAAACTTTTTAAACCGACGGGCTCTAGTACTAGATCAAGCCATCAAAAAGTGGCTCGATTTTGATGCCTGCTACGAACCAAACATCCAACAAGAACTATCAGTCAATGATATAATTTTCTGTACTAATGCAAATTGAGAGATGCGAAAAAAAAAAACTTTTGTTTCTTGTTATCTAGATAAGTTTTCAAATGAATGTAATTGAAAACTAACGTTAAATAGAACATAGCATAAGCTCCAATAATAACTAAAAAAAATTGCATATAATGTACAACATGATGTCCCGGTGGTCTAACATGTCTTCGATGTCCATAATTTGTATAACCAAAACTAAATTTTAATTTTCTTGTACGATATGGTTGATTAATAATAATTGGTAAACGAACTGATAATAATGATCGTTGATTTTCAATATATTGATGATTATAATTTAAAAATCGATTTAAATTTAATGAAGATAAAATATTTGTTGATCTTAATAAAGATGATGAATATAAATGCCAAATATGATTTTGTTGTTGTTTTAAAATTCCAATTAAAATCATCTACAAAGAAATATTCTCTACAAAGAACTTTTTTTTTTCCCAAAAAATCGATACACACAGTGTAAAAAAAAAAGAAAAAAGAGAACGGACGGAAAAATTAAATATCAGACATAAATTAAATCGGATCTTGTAAATCAGTCATAAAACTACTAAAATGTTTAATACGTTCTTCCCATTTTTTTTTACGTTGATTTGTATCATGTAATAAAATTCTCATTTCATCTTCGACTTCATTTATACGAATTTGAGCTTGTTGAAGTTTTTCTTCATAATTTTTTTGTATTTGATTTAATGTTTGTCGATGACCATGTTCAATTGTTTCAAATTGTCGACGAAAATCATCATCACGTTGACGAAGTTTTTCTTCTGATTGTCTTTAAAAATAAAAAATTTGGATAAGATTTATAAAAATTCTTTTTTGTTTTTTACTTGTGAATTTCAATTAAACGATTATTTTCATCAGAAAGTTTCTTTTCATTTGTTTGATATGTTTCTGATGCACGACGAATTTTATTATCAAGTTCACTTATTAAATCAGATTTTTCTTTCCATTTACGACTTAAAGCACTAGAAAAATATTTAATTGAAGATTGTGTGTGTGTGTGTTTATTTTTTTGAATAAGAAAAAAAACTAATTAATACTTGTAATCAGCTTTAGTTTTTTCAAGTTGTTGTTGTAATTGATGCATTTCATTTTTCATTGAATCTCGTTTTTCACAAACTTTTTCATATTTTTCTTGTAATTCTTGATAAACTAATTGTTCATCTTGTAATTGTTGTTCAAGTTCTTTTAGACGATTTATTAAATCTTCACGAGCTTTTTTTATTGTTTCATCACGTTCAACAACACCCTAAATATTAAAAACAATGAATATTACTTATTTTCAATTATCTTATCAACTGAAAAGATAGTTCTGTTATATCTGGAGAATCGAAGATCAGTTCATATGTGGTTCGATAGCCCATTCGATATAATATACGCTATACTGGCGGTAGTTTACTACTTAATTGGTTGACTATCATCAGATCACCATTCTACCGCAGTATGTTAATATTTGTTCTATTTTGTTGTATAAAAGATATGTGATCCGAATTCGATGAAGAGTCACTTTTTTTTTTCCTTTCTACGATGAACTCAATTGGGTTATCATAATAACCTATTATAGTAGTTTCAATTAGAGATGTACAGCTTACGCTCATATGAGCGTGAGCGGTAGAGCCTATCGGATCCGAGTTAGAGTCCACCGGGTCCAAAAATTTTGGACCCGAACCTGGACTCGATTTATTGAACATTTTTTAGACCCGGATCTGGTTGGTTAAATTTTTTTGGACCCGGATCCGGTTGATTAAACTTTTTCGGACCCGGTCCCGAATTGTACTCTTGATATTTAATGAATTTTTTTTTAATTCGCACCTGATAATCCTCCAGGAACGCATCCTTAAGAGTTCTGAAGCAATCTCGATCATGATCTTATAAGAATCAACTTATAATTAGCTCTTTTTTTCAGAGTAGCATCCATAAAATCAGACCCAACCAGGTCCTGGTTCGGGACCAATCCGATGGGCTCTTGAAAGCGGTTTTCCTAACTAAAATAGGGAAGGAAGATTACCGTTGTGTATAAAGTTTGACCAAAGGTTTTCGGGGTCGATAAATCCGAATCTGTAATTGTCTTTTTAAAATTTTGAATTTGATGTTTTTGTTCAAAACAAATTTTATTACTAAAAAAGCTGTTTTTTACTAAGGACTTACCTTTTTTGTAAAAAAAAACGTTTTTTTGTAAGAAATCAAACTCAAAATACCTCTCCTATTCGAGACAGGAAAATCGCTCATATGAACGTGAGCTGTACACCCTTAGTTTCAATTATAGATATAAATTCAGGACATATGGATTTCAAAAACTGAGCAATTTATATGCGATTGAATATTTCAGAAGATTTAATACTGAATGATTCAACATAACTGCAAAATGAAAAGTAAAAATATTGAGTACAAAAAATCAAATTATGCAAAATGATTATATAAAGACTATAAGCAAATATTAAAAAAAAACCGTCTTACAAATTGATCTCACCCAGTTGTTTAATTTGAATTGTACCTTTAATAATGCGTATAAAATTATATTCGTACATTTTCTATCACAGACAAACAATTGATGAAAACATTAAGATCTATCCTATTTTATTTACTTCTATTGTCGGTTTCAAAAAGCAATAGCCCTGCCTGTTTTTTTTTGAATAACTTTTGATAGGAACAACATAGAGACCTGTGGTTTTCACCATTCAAAAGAGCAGATCCTGAGAAAGACGATTATAAGGTTTTGACTACAGAACGGGATATATGTAGGCTTCCTCTATCAAACGGTGCATGTATTATCAACGTACCGTTAACTTGCTGATAGAATGGCGCCAACTTCGCCGCCGACCACTGCGGAATGCGTCGAAGGTGGCGCTATCTATTGACATGTCAACGGTACGTAATGGATCTTGATAATACATGCATTATTGGATAGAGGAAGCCTATATATATCCCCTTCTATAGTCAAAACCTTAAAGTCGCCTTTATTTATATTAAAAAATCTTTTTGTTTAACAACTGATCAATCAGGTGTATTCTATGCGGGGATTTTGACAAAAAAGATATGTATTGTATTTTGACCTATGATACAACCAATCGATAAGAAAAATTCTTCTCTTTCGGTTCAATTTTTCAGCATGTTCCATTCAGGAGTTACAGAAATTTTTTCGAGATCTCCGATTTCAGCAAATTGACTTTGAAAGACTCGAAAATAGTTCAAGACAGGAGTAATTCATTATGATGAGTCAAAGGCTAATGTTTGTTTTCAGTTTCATTAATGAATGATCCCTGTTTTGAGCAGGTCAGTTTGCTAAAATCAGGGTCTCGAGAAATATTCTGTAACACTTGAATGGAATATACTGGAAATGTGTACCGAAAAAGAAGAATTGTTTCTATTCTGAGTGAAAAAATCCAGTTTTATTCTGATGGAATATTCTGCATTTTATATGAATTTTAAATAATATAATTACATCTTTGAGTTTTTGAATTGTGTCCAATTGACTTGCAATAATCGTTTGTTTGATACGACATGTATCAACTTCTTTATCTAATTGTTTTTTTAATGTATTCACTTCACTAGTTAAAGTTTGTATAGTTGATTCTAAACGACCACGATCTTGAGCTAATGAAGCACCTAATAATAAAATTTAAAAAAACAAAAAAAGATAAAAAAAAAGAATAAAATAAAAACCTTGATGTGCTAATTCATGACTCCATAATTTTTTTTCTTCTCTTAAACCTGATAAAACTGATTCTTGAGCAACAAGACGTGCATCTAATTCACGACGTTCTTTTTGTAATAATAAAATTTGTTCACGAATTTTTTTTAATTCATCTATTGTACGTTCTAATTTTGTTGTTAAATGTTTATTTTGTTGTGTTAAATTATCATTTGCTTTTGCTCGTTCTTGTAAACGTTGTTTTTGTTCACGAACTAACTATAAAAAAATATATATCTAAACATTAATATTTCATTTTAAATTAAATAAATTTTTTTTTTCGGTAGTTCAATTAGGAATTGTCTCAAAAGATGCAGAAAAAAGTTCTCTACAAAATGATCTAGAGGAGGTATATAAGCTATGCTGTAAAAAACTGCTGAATACGAAATATCATTTTACAGCTTTGTTACTTACCGCAACAATTGTAGTTTCTATTAAAACTTCGCACACGTCATTTTGTACTTTGTATAATATATTCAAAGATGCAGAATTTCAAGAGATTTCGAAAACTAGATTCATTTTTTAAGACTCCATGACGCGACGAGGTTAGACGCAAAGTACTATCAAAAAGTCGACCATTAAATACAGACTCTCTCCTTGCCTTATGGAAGCATGATCGATTACTAAAACTTATTATAATGACCTCTAGAGCCCATCGGACTCTACCGGATTCGGGCAGAGCCCGGGTCCAGAAATTCTTGGGCCCTACCCGCAAAAGGCCGATCAATTAGGTCCGAATCCAACAACTTTAATCGGTCCGAAGTGAACAGAAAAAACTGTTTGGTTCCAGTTCCGCGTCCAAAAAACTTTTATCGACCGGGTCCGGGTCTAAAAATTCTTGGACACGATAAGCTCTGGCATTTCATAACTCAATGGGACGATCACAGACAAAAAAAAACCATTTGTATTGAAGGATTATGATCTTTGGTATCTTTCATAAGTACGTCAGAAAATCTAATATTTTAGATTTATAAGTTTTATGATATAATCTCTCATTTGAGTTAAATAAAAAAAACTTTAGCGGCAGTCTAACAGATCCTCTCTTAGAATTTCGTATGTGATAACTTACCACCATTAAATCATTAACCATTTTTCGATCAGATTCTTCACGTTGTTTTATATTTGTTGAAGATGATTGAAGAAGTTCATTTTCTTTTTGAATAATTTCATTAGTTTTTAATAACTAAAAATAAATTATTTGATTTTGATTTTAATTTATAGAAAAGATTTAATTACTTCTTGATATCGACGTTCTTCAATTTTTAATGCATCACGAAATTCATCTTCAAGTTTTTTATATTCAATTGCTAATGATTGTAATCTAAATATCATTTATTTTTTGTGAAAAAAAAAAACAAGATATTAATTATATCGAAGATTTTTACTAATTTAATATAAATTAAAAAATTTCAATTTAGAATTTTTGAACAAAAAGAAGTAAAATCCTAAGATTTAAGATGAAAGGATAATACCTACATTCATAGTTTAATACGCCAAAGGAAAAGAACTACTTGAGAGCACTTATAAGTACTTTAAAAACAATGTGTTCTCAAGGTAAAGTACATTTTTTTCCCTCGAGGTATGATATTTCACGAAGTGATCATTATGTTTGTTCTTATAGACTTTTAGTACTAGAAATTCTACTCGATTAATGCATAATAACTCGTGTCAAGAAAGTCTTGACACAATATGCTCGCTCATTTTCCAATCACTGAAAAGCAACTAGTGACAGTCAAAAGCAATTAGTAAAACTCAGAATTTTGTGTCTATTATTTTTCGACAGTGGTGAGAGCATCTTTGAAATACTAAAAATATTAGTTTAGACGAAAAAACTTTTCATACATGCTCACTATTGAGATCTGAAACTAAAAGTTGAAAACATTTGTTGATATATGAGCTTGTAGAGCAAAATTTACCCTACAGAACGCACCATTTGACTTTCTTTTTGTCTTCCAAAAAGGCATCTAAATTTTCATTTTTGTATATCACCTTCATTTTTTCAAAAAATCGATATTTTGAAGAAAGTGGGTTTTATGTAGAAATTAATTCTTAAGAAGATCGCTATCACTTTAAGCTATAGTTTCGTATGATATCACATGTTGTACAGAAGTGTTCGCTCTATAAAATCGCCGATACTGATAATTTTGAGTACCTTCACAAACGGACTTATGGGAGTGTTAACAAAAACCTGCTTGCTCGCTGTACCATTCCAATTTGTATGCCTTTCAAAGATTCCCTTACTTCTATCGAACAAAAGAATATGCACAATTTTTGAGCGCATAAAATTTTGATCATAATCCATAGTTTTTCGCTCGTCTGAAATACTTTCAAGCAGACCAAAAACAAACAAACATTGTGGCAAGAAACTTCAGTCCAACCATTTCGTTTAAACTAATTTTTTAAGCCTTTCAATGATTCTCTCATTACTGTAGAGTAAAAATAGACACAAAATTTCTGAGTCCATATTTAGAAAGAACACAAAATTTCTGAGTCCATATTTAGAAAGAACACAAAATTCTGAGTTTTACTAATTGCTTTTCACTGATTGGAAAATGAGCGAATATATTGTGACTAGACTTTCTTGGCAGGAGTTACTCAGTTTTTTTCGTTTAAATCTTCCTAAATTCATTCGTTGAATTCTTTAACAAGAAATATCGAACTACTGGCGAGAGAAATCTCCGAATTAATTAATTGCTTTTGACTCGGGACTATGTCTATTATGTAAATAGATTCGGATCCGGACCCGGACCCGATGAGCTCTGCCACCTAATGGCATTCTCAGTAAAAAGTCTCTTACTTTTCTTGTTGATGTGTTAATTCAGTTCTATGAATATCTTCTTTTCGTTGAATTTCTTGTTTAAGATATTGTTGTACTTCAGTTGCTTGTAAATCAATTCGACATTTTTCAAGTTCTTGTCTACAAGAAAAAAAACCAACAATTAAAATAAAGTCAATAAATTTAATGTTTTAATATTTTCTATTAACTTATGTTTAATATCTCTGGTTGTATAAAGTTGTTGACATTCATGTAATTGTTGTTTAATTGTTTTTAATTCTTGTTGTAAAATTTCATTTTCATGTTGTAATGAATTACTACGACGTTCCCAATTTCGTATTTTTTCATTCTTAAAAAAAATTTTTTACTTGATTAATTAAATCAAATGAAATTTCTTTTTTTGTTTTTCTTTACTTCAGTTATACGAAGTTCATTTTTTTCACTTTCTAATTTACTTAAACTACTTTCAAGAGTTTTAATTAATTGTAAATTTGTTTCTTGAGCTTTTTTATATGATGATAATTGATCTTCTGTACTTCGAAGACGTGCCTATAGAATATTTACAAAAAAAAACAAACATCTAGTAAATTGTATTTCAATAGATACTTTATAATCATCGAGAATTGCAGTTAAATCTTGAAATTTTGATTTTTCATCAGCTAATCTTTGTTTATGTTTTTCTGTTAATTCATGTAAAATAGTTTCATTTGTTCGACCATCATTTGCTATAAATATAAAAATTATTTTATTCAATTAAAAGAAATACAAAATAAACCTCGTTTTTTAAATTCATTAATAATATCATTTAAATGTTTTATTTCTTGTTCAGCACGCCAACGTTTATCACGTTCATTATCTAATTCACGTAAAGTTGATGTATATATTTCATTAATATCATCATTATCATTATCTCGACTTGATCGATAATGATATTCATCACAATCACGTTCACGTGTTGTATTATATAAATGTTGATGAGTATTTATTGTAAATGGACGTGTATTTTCATCAATCATACTATGAGATTTTGTATCAATTATTACAGGTGGAGAAGTATTATTTAATGATATTGGATTTTTAGTACACATTTTTTTACTAAAAAAGAAAGAAATAAAAGAAAAATAATATTTTCTTTTTTCTATTTACGTTGTTGTTGGTTGTTGTCGAGGTGTAGATTGTATGATAGTATTAGTAATTGTTGATCGTGGTTTTAAACGAGAAGTTTTTGTTGGCATTGAATCCGATTCATTATCTGTAGATGGTGATCGAACTGAAGTTGAGAATAAAGAGAAATAGAAGTTTTCGAATAAAAAAAAAAAAGAAAAAGACCTGAACGTTTATCATGAGTTAACGGACGTCGAGTTGCAGATTTCGAGTCAATTTTTCTACTACGAGGAATACAATCACTTTCCACTGCCTGTAATAAAAATCAAATGATAAAATTAATCTAATCATAATTTAAAAGTTGATCGCCTTTTTTTTTTAAAAATTTACTCAAAAACTAATCTTAAAAGAAATCATTTGTGTACATCTACACGGTTGGAAAAAATATTATTCCAGGGGGGTAACGCTATAATTTCAAATAGAAGACATCATAAATTTTATATCAAATGAAAGCTCGTTAAAAATGGGGTTTATTGGTATTAAATAGTGAGAGTTATGAAAACCTTTTAATGTCGAGCTTAATAAATTTTATACTTTTTTTGGGATGGAAAATTAAAGTACTAGTGATTCAAGAATGGAGTAAAATGTTTTTCTTGAATATTTTTACACGGTTCGATAGAGCTCGTCGAGCTCTATGAAACTGTATACATTAACAAAATTTTTAAGACACTTTTTTTGCGATAAAAAATTCAAAAAACTATTTGGAAAATCTTAGAAAACATGAAAAAAATTCATATTTTTCATGTAGAAGAACAACACTTACTTTTTCAATAAAAGTAGCTTTTTTCATTGTTTTTACTCCGTCAGGCGTTTCGAAACATACTCATTAGACGCAGCTTTTCACACTGCATCGAACGAGTATATTTCGAGACGTCCAAGGCAGTAAAAACAACGAAAAAAGCTACTTTTATTGAAAAATTGAGCGTGTTTCTTCAATTTGAAAAAAAAAGAGTTTTTGAGGTTTCCCGAGTAGTTTTTTGAACTTATTATCTCAAAAAGATGCCTCAAAAAATTTTAAACATGCACAGTTTTGTAGAGCTCAACGAGGTCTATCAAACCATGTAAAAATATTCAAGAAAAAAAATTGACTTCATTTTTGAATCAGTGGCACCTTGATTTTCTACCCCAAAAAAATAAAATTTCTGAAAACTTCTTAAATTTGACATTAGAAAGTTTTTACAAGCCTCACTATTTAGTATCAATAAACACCATTTTTGACGAGCTTTCATTTGATATAAAATTCATTATGTCTTCTATTTGAAATTATAGCGTTACCCCCCTGGAATAATATTTTTTCCAACCGTGTAGATCCATCAATTGATGGTCTGATAATAATTTATGTTAATAGATTGAAAACAAAAATACCGAAAGAGATCCATTATGAATATCAGCACTTGTTGTTGTACTTGATTCCATAGGTTTTGGATTATGTCGAAGAGCATTAAGTGCTGCAGCTATTTTTGGATATTGTTGTGATATTGAATTTGTTACATCATGCTAAATTATAAAAGAAAATAATTGAAATTATTCGTTAAGGGAACATATTTTTTGTTTTTAAATAACATACTAATTGTTCTCTTGTTTCATTTGTTAAACCAACATACTGTTCAATTCCTAAATAAAGAAATATTAAATCGAAGATTCTTTTTTTTGGTAATAAATTACCTGTAAGACCTTGACTATTCATATCTTTTTTGCCATGTTTATCCATTCCATCAAGACTAATTAATGTTCGAAGACGATTAAATAATGTAACTCGATAAGCTATTTATACGAAAAAAAATAAAATAAAGAAAAATTTAAATTAATACCATCTTTTTTTGCTATTGGATTTTCTCGTAAAGTAAGATGTTGTAATCGAGAAAGACCATTCATATTTTTAATAACATCATCCAAAGAACTAATTTTAAAATAATAAAATATTTATCCTTTTTTTTTTTTTTGTTTAAATATATTCTTACTTAATTTGATTTCCATGCATTTGTATAATAGCTAAATTATATTCAGCTCCCCAAAGATCTTGAAAACCTTGTAAATATTCAATTTTATTATATGATAAATTAAGCCATGATAATTTTCTAAACATGAGATTATATTAAAAAAAAAAAAATTTTTGTTTTTTTTTTATAAATTATTTTACTTTAATGCAAATAAACCTTCAACAATAACAATTTTATTTGATGCTAAATTTAATGTATCTAATGAAACAAGACCTTCAAGACCTTGTATACGTGTTATATTATTTGATGATAAATCAAGATGTGTTAAATAATTTAATCCAGTTAAACCATTTATTCGTTCAATTTCATTTGAATGTAAATTAATTGAAAGTAAATTTTTATGTAAAGGTATTTCATCGATATTTCGAATACCATGTGCCATTAAACTAAGATCAGTTGATTTAGTATTAAACTGATCATTATTATTTAAATCAAAATCCATTATTAGATCTTAAGATTTTATATATATACAAATACTACATGTACATCAATATTTTGAAAATAATAATGATAATAATCTGATTGGAATGATTCACTCATAGCAAAGAACGACCTCTATGTGCATTAATGTGATAAAATAAGAAGATAAAATTCATTCGGAAGGGTGTTGACAAGGTTATACAAAACACGAATGGCTGTTGTACATAGTTTGTACAGAGTAGAATATTAATTAAGGTAACAACGAATACAAATGGTGGTCAGCGTTGGACTTATGCCAAGCAGGTATTATATGCCAAGTTTACTAATTACAGATCAAGATAAATTTTGTTCCTGTTGGATAATATCTACGATAAAACTTCAGTGTTATATATCATTTTCTATGCTAAAAAGTATCCATTTGATTGTCAAAAAATATGAGATTAGGAGAATACTGATGTAAACATTCAATAATTCAAATAAATTATTCTGTAGTTTTAAGAGAAAACCTATCCAACTAATAAATGCTGTTTAAACTTATATTTTACTCATAGATAGGATTCATAATGTAGATAAAAACCCTAAAAAGGTTCGTGTCATTAGGCCTTTCTTCTCGAGTTATAATCAGTTTATTGAATTTTCAGCCTATCACAGGATATTATGAACAAAGAATTTCTGCCTGAAAATTTTCCTAATAATAGACCTAATGATCCTTACTGTCTCCTGAAAGTTTCAGCTCAAATGAATAGTTCTCTTTCGAAAATGTATTAGTTCAAAAAAATTTGAAAACCCTGCGAAGGGGTTCGGATAGGAAGGACAATTTTGGTTCTCCCAGCGAAAACCTGATTTTGTGGAATTTCGCTATTTTAAATGATAGAAAACTGAAACTTTCGAACTAGATGCTAATCAATGAGGCGATCATTTCATTAGGCCGAAACGTTTTTGTCCAACGTTTTCTTCGCATCGAAAAGTTTCTCACAAAAATCAGCTATGTCGGGTTTTTTGGAGACTAGATTTCTCCAACAAGAAACAAGATTTAATTGATGATTTTATATAGGGTGTCCAGTAAGTCATGAAACAGACACACTAAAAATTGAATATCTTCATTATAGCTCGACCAAACGGGCTCATTATTTTACCAAGAATAGAGACATGTTTACACTCTAAATCCTTATGGGTGAGACTAGTGAGAACCTATGGTGACCATATTGTTTTCTTTTCCTATTTGTGAACAAGTAAAATTTTCTTGTTGAAGTGGTATTTAATAAAGGTTCTTACTGACCTTGTCCAAATGAATTTGAAGTGTGAACATGCCTCTATTCTTGGTAAAAAAATGAGCCCGTCTGGTCGAGCTATAATGAAGATATTCAATTTTTAGTGTGTCTGTTTTATGACTTACTGGACATCCTATAGTAAGTTCCTGAAGCTCTCTCTTAAATCTCCAGGAAATCTCTGTCAGGAATCTCCGAGGATTCTTTTAGAGACAATCGACTAGGTCTTTTGTGACGTATGAGAGACATATGTAATTAATTACATTATGAAATATGTTTATTTGCAAAATAAAACGTTTGATTTAATATTTCTTTTTTTGTTTGACATATTCTGAATGTTTATAGTTCAATATCGACATCTCCAGCAGATGTTCAAACAATAATTCGATTAGCTGAAGAAAAAATTCGTATTAAAACAATTGCATTAGGTCTTCGTGTAACAGAATTTTTTCATGATTTTGATCGTCTTCGTTCGGGTTATGTTACTGCATCACAATTTAAACGGTAAATATTTAGAAGTATTTTATTTTTATTATTATTCTTTATGAAGATGTTTGGATACTAATTTACGTCTTCAATTATCATCGGTAGAAGAAGAATTACTCTTTCAAAAATATGATCTTAAACATGATGGATCGATTTGTTATCGAGAATTTTGTGATATTATTAATCGAAGTAAGTCTAATGATGAAAATTTTTAATATAACGATTGATCAATAAAAATATTTTTGTTTTGTATCCTTTGATTTTTATTTGATCTTGAAATGACAGTAGTGTCACATATCCAGAAAATCGAGGATGCTGGAGAAGTGTAGAAAGATGCGGCATCTCTCAAGCAATCATGAGGAAGGAAATACAAACATACACACAGACATATCTCATAGTTGTGGGTGCTGGAGGAAAGATGAACACACTAGGAAACACAGACATAGCCACATCTCATAACTTTGGCTGAATGTAATGAGATTCACGAAATCATGAGAGAAGATCCACCATATATCTCATAAAGATACGGCATTCCTTCAGGATATACGTGAATGTTATCCCTACACCTGCTGTAATGAATCGTTCTCTCTGAAATGATCCGTTATGCGGAGTTGAAACATCAAGTAATAGATTGAAAGGTGTTTAAATCAACGAAAAACTCGTTCAAACGACAGGTTGAATGCAACATAGAGAGATAAAGAAGTGTTGAACAAATTATGTAGGTCCCGTCTTCTACTTAAAAATTCTAGGCTAGCGGTTTTCAAGCTCTAAGGTTTCTAATTTCGAACGACTTATAAAAAACTATCTTTAAGATGTTTTCTGAGAAATATTTAACTCGAAGGTAATATGCGCTATCAACCGTTATCAATCTTCCAAAGCAATTTTCTCATAAGACCTTACAGCGAAGGAAAACTTGATTTTCATGAACTATTATCGATTTTTTGAAAAAAGTCACGTGAAAAGAATGCTTGTAACTTTTGGAAGAAAAGTAATAGAGACCTGCGATTTTCATTGTTGGATAGAGCATAGTGAGGTACGTAGTGCTATGAAATAATTAGATCTTCAAGTAAGGTTTACCATAGTAAATCTTTGAATACAAATCCGATGAGATTGTCATTCCCTAAACATATGACATATTTAACATACTTATTGGAAAAAACTGAATTTTTTGTTGAAAGAGTCTCTAATTTTTTAGAGAAATCTTCATCAGAAGTAACGAAACAACATTTTGAAATATCAGGCCTTATTAAGTTGTAGCGGCAGGTGTTCGCTACTTTTTAACGTGAACTGGGCCTCTGTATCATTAGATTTCAAGGAAAATCCTTACAACATGGAAATCTACTTTTCGATTGTTGATATGATAATAACTCTTGAATAGCTCAATACGTTGAGCTGAAATTTTTACTGTGAACTACGTCATCCGGACGCATATTCTATCTTTTTCTCTAGAGCAAAATTAGATTTCTGAGTAGAGCGAAGGAACTAAAGAAAATGACGAACCTACATGTTCATGTTGGACATCGATGGAATGATCATAAAAATAGTCGCGTTCCGTCTCGCATTCGACATAAAATTTTCCCTGTATTACTCCGACTAGGACATGGATTTCTCATAGCTCATCGCTGGAGCATTGTGTTTTCTGTTTTGTACATCTAAATCTAAATTGTATCTAGCTTTTCCAAAATGTCCTATCTTTAGATGGTAACAATCAAACTTTGTAAAATCTATGTTTTCTAATAGAGTCATGAAATTTCAAGCTCACCTTCATATATCAACAATTTCATTTGTTAGCGACGTGACACAAAAATGAACAAAGAATTTCACTACATTCGTTTCCATTTAAAATTACTACAAGTGCAAAAAAGTATTTTTGAAAAATAAATATGACGTTTTGTAGAGAACTCTTCAAGCTACAAAATTTTCTTGTAAGATTTTTCAAAAACTTGATTTTATCCATTGTTAGCAACTTGACTGAGCACGGATACAAAAATGAAAAAACCTTCTTTTAGGTGAATGAAATGCCAAAAACATTAATTTTAAATAATACAAATCTTTCGTGAAGATCTCGAGATGCATATAAAAGGAATCTTATCAAAGAGAAACTCATTTTCATTGTATGATTACTGATTATAAATATTTAAATACTCTTAGTATTGATGTTTGATTTCTGATATTCAAACTTTCATTTCAGAATATCCAGAAACAACAATTACACCATATCCAGAAAATTTTACAAATGCTGCTCCACCATATCTCAATTCATGGCGTTCAACTCGTCATGTAGGTACAGAAGATGAAAGTGAACGTTTACAAAATGTTCTTCAACGTATTGCTACATATTGTAAACAACGTGGCATTGATGTTTTATCAATAATGGAACAATATGATAAACATAAGATGGGTGAAATAACTGATAGTCAATTTTATCGTGCTTTTATTGGACCACAATTAACTGAAGCTGATATGACACTTCTTCGAGATAAATATTCTGATCCAGGAAAACCAGGTTTAATTAATTATTTAAATTTTGTTCAAGATCTTAATACATATTCACGTACAAATGAAATAACAGTTTCTACAACTGATAACAGTAATATTCAACAAATTCCATTTGTCGGTGTTGAAGAAAGAGTAAAAAAATTTTTTTTTGTTTTTTTAAACTTTATATTGTTCAAAACAAGAACTTTACATTTCATAGGCTGAACAACGTTCAATAC